GTGGGCAGAGACTCCGGGGGGAATGGTGGGTCAGCTGGCCTAGCACAGTGGCCAGAATCGAATGTCATGGATGGCCAGGGGTGCTGCCCGCTGAGTGAGGATCCCTCCCACAGGCTCTTTCTGCTCAGCCCCCACCTGCCTTCCTATCTCTGTACCAGTAGGACTGTACTTCCTTGTCTGTGATAACCGCCCACAAGTTGTAATCCCTGGGGTCCCTGGGATACCGCGTGGGTTGTGATTCAGACCCGAACCTCAGAGGCTTGTCTGCCCTCGCAAGGAGGCAGGACTCAGACACCTGTGCAGGGCCCCCAGCCCCTCCCCGTCCCCAGATCCAGCTCCCATCATATGCAGGTGTGTGTACCCACCAACGGCAGCCATCTGACTACCCACCTCCTATCAATGGGAGATCTGCCCCATCCTTCCTGCCTGGGCCGCCCTCAGCTGCAGGGCCCCACAGGGAAGCCCCCAGAGCCCATGAATTTATAAAAGCTTCCAAGACCCTGCCACGCTAGCAGCTATTTCATCTCCCTTAATGGGACAGAAGTGTCCTCTCTTCCTTCAGAATAGAGGCTCAGTGCCACGTGTGTAGACATCGCTCTGTGTCTGTGCGCACATTCTTATGTGTGTGTGTGTGTGTGTGTGTGTGCACTTGTATGCAGGTGCCTCTCTAGATATGTGTCTAGGTACAAAAATGACTATGAAGTGCCAAGCTGGGTTTGTCATTAAACCATCCATCCATCCATTCATTCAACACGTGCTTCTTGAACACCTGCTCCATGTAAGTCACCATGCCAGTGCTGGGAACACAGAAGAGAACAGGGCACACGGAGCTCAGAGCCCTCATGGAGGCACCCTCAACCCTGGCCATTCCGGGGAAGGGAGGTGGGCAGGGGCTGTAGTTCTGCATGGGAGCCAGTTTTGGTCTTTGGGGCCTAGTCTCAAAACAAGGCCCAGAGCAGGGCCCAGCAACCCCCAGAAAGGCTGGTCCTGCAGAGCCCCACACTTTTCCTCTCCAACCTCATCACAGGCCAGCCCCTCAGGGCCACAGAGATAAAGCAGCAGTTCCTTCTGGGGTGCATAAAGAATAACCAGGGATCAAGATTCCCAAAGAAAGTCCACAGAGTCAGTCATAACAACTCCAGCCCCTGCTGGCCTGGACTCGCACACCTGTGGAGAAGCAGTGCGTACAGCCCATCTGGCCAGCGACCTCACTTGTTCACAGGCGGACAGCCGAAGCCCAGTGCGCCTGTTCCCTGTTGCTGCTGGGACAGACTGCCACACGCTTAGTGTCTCAGAAACAACAGTCTGCAGGCCTACACTCCTCTGGAGGCTGTAGGAGGGAATCTTCTTGCCTTCCCAGTTTCTAGAAGCTGCCTGCACTCCTTGGCTGGTGACCTCGTCACCATCTCCAACACTCGCAGCAATGCCAGCAGCCCAGCCTCTTTAAATTTCCCTAGAACTCTGCTTTTCTTGTCACCTTTCTTCTAACTCTCGTGTCTCCCTCTTGAAGGAGTCTTGGGATTACTTGGCACCACCTGGATAATCCAGGATAATCGCCCCATCTCAAGATCCTCAACTAATACCATCTGGGAAGCCCCTTGTGCCCTGTAGGAGCATATTCACAGGTTCTGGGGATAAGGACGCAGACATTTGAGGAAGGTGGGGAAACTCACTCTGCCTACCACACCAAGAAATGGAAGGACCTGCCCAAGGTCTTAAGAGGGTGAGCAAGGGCCAGAACGCAGGCTGCAGGCCCCCCAGATCTGTGTCCTTTGGGGCAGCACCTGAGAACAGAGGGAAACTTGAGCGGGTCTCCTCAAACATGCTGTACGGAGCAGTCAGCTGTCAATAACCTGGTTAGCTTTTCCTCCCAGCTCCACCACCTACCAGTGGGTGACTTTGGGCATGTGGTTTAATGTCTCCAGACCACAGTCTTCTCATCTGTGAAGTGGGGATAGTGACAAGGGGCCACCATGTAGCCTGATTTGAGGGTGCACTGAGCCTGCATTGTGGCTGCACCTTTGGAGCTGTGTCAGTCTTATCCATTGCCCCCTAACACACCCCATTTAAAAATGAGAGAAGTGAAGGCATGGAGAGAAGAGATGCACACATGCACCCAGCAGAGCTGGTAACAAACATAGTGCCCTTGACCCCTGGAACCCTTCTCAGGCCCCTCCCCAGAGCGGTGGCACAGTTGCCTTCCTGGAAACTCCCCAGGGAATGAAGCCTTTGCTACCTAAGTGGGTCACAGAGAAGTAACAAAGGGGTGCTCTTTGCCTGCAAAGCCCCTGCTGGGGCAGGGAATAAAGCCTCCTTATTGAGGGGTTCTGTGTGCCTGCCTGCAGACACACGGCAGGAGGGGATGGAGTACCCAGGGGCAGGGTGCCCACAGAGAGGCAACAGAGATTCGGTAAGTGTCCCCACATCTTGAAGGGAGGAGGGACACCAGAGATGCTGCCCAGGTCTCTGTAAACAGAAGGTCGGGATGGGGTGGGGAGGGGGTCCTGGGGGACAGTGAGGGATGAGTGGGCCTCCTCCTCCAAGAACCATTCCTGTAGGAGAGAAAAAAGATGCTCTCCATCCATTGCCAGGCCACTGGGGCTCCATTCAACCCCCACAGGGGGAGACTCAGGGCCAGCAGGGGCTACAGGGCAACCCCAGCCTCCCCCACCGACACTGCCTCCTCACTGTCCCCTGGCCAAGAACTATTTCATCAGCTCACAGTACTGCAGACTCTGCCATCAGCTGCAACCCTTTGGGGTGTTTCCTTTTTCGTTTTGCTGTTTTCTGTTTCGATTCTGCACACCTTTCTGAGCAATGTGGATATGCGCAGAGCACATCAGCACACAACCCCGTTGCTTCCACGTGGGGGGGCAAGGCTGGCTCATGAAGGCGGACGGTGCAGGGGTCTCAGAGGCGCATTTCACCACAGTGCCCTGCTTTCACGGCATCTGCCACACAGCGTGAGACGGGATTATAAAAGACTAGTCAACTAGTGGTTGTACAGAAGTTTTTAAATTTTCAATTTAAATTATCCAACCCTTTAGCTCTCCAGCACATCCTTTGGCCCCCATTTACACTTCCAAGCCCACCCAGGAACCTACCCGACTCCTCTGGGCCAGGAGAGATGAAAGAGGATGTGAAATATAGAGTGTGAAAGACAGAGGCTGGTGTGCTCCTAATGGCAGGGGATTGATCAGCCCTTCTTCTGCACATGAATGACTTCCCCCAGGGTATTCCATTTCTCCTTAGAAGCTTCTGAAGTGCACTGGTTGGCCTGGAGTTAAGGCAGAACTGTGCTAATGAGAACTGGCTTAAGAAACTCCTCGAAGAACTCAGAAGATGCGAAGTCTTCAAATGGAATATTAGAAATCTGTCAAATTGGGGATGAGGGTATTGCTGAGCTCTGGGTTTTTGGTGAATTGGCTTTGGGGCCAGAATAGGGCTGGGAGGTGTGACCCATGTGGATAAAAACCATCCTCCACTCCTCAGCAAAAGAGGTGGGGGCTGGTGAGGGTGGAGGCGTGGGGAGCTTCAGGGAAGCCAGGCCCCACCTCACCCTGCACTCCCTGGAAGCGGCCTCCGGGTGGTTCCTGACAGTGTGCGCGTGATGCTGGCTGCAGGAAGAATGGGCAATGTAGCTCGCCACATGTGGTGTGTGGACTGCGCCCTACGGGAGGGCACATGGTTGAGGCAGCCAGTGAGGCTGAAATCCAGCCAGGTGGGAACCTCCCGTTAGGAGGAGTTGGCAGCTTCTTCCAGTTCCCTCAAAGGTGCCGGCGTGGGCCGGGACTGTAAACTGCAGCAGAACCCTGGACCGGGAGCCTGGAGGCCGGGCCCTGACTCCAACCCCACCATGGGTCTTCCGGCGGGACCCTGAGTCCCCCACTGTGTGCCTCAGCTCCCCCATCCACGTTAGTCAGCTCCGCGGGGCCCAGCCAGCTCTGGGGCTGAATCTACCCCGAGAAGCCGTGTGTGCTCAGCAGGCCTGGAGAAGACACCCAGGGTGCCTCCAGAATAACCAGCACTCCCCCAGCACAAAGACTGTTCCAGAACGAGTTGCATTTTGGTTTGGGGTCAAAGCTCCTCAAGTTCAGCGCCTTTCCGCGGCTTATTCTTTGTAAGAGCCTTGCTGAATGAGTCAGCCGGTCCCCCTCTGCTCACTGCATGGATGTGACGCTATCTGTTGTTGCTCTTTTCCCTTCCAGTCAACGCAGCTGAAATAGTATTAATAACCAATACCAATCGATTTATTGAGCACTGCCCGTATGCCAGTTTCTGTGCTTGCTGTTGTCCGCACTGACTCCTGTAACCCTGACCTCCAGGCCCTGAAGCCATGCCCCTTATTTTGCAAGGTTAAGGAACAGAGGCCCCAAATCCCACAATGCATAGCCAAGCAGGATTCGAACTCGGATCACTCTGACTGGAAACCCAGGCCCTCATAATATTTCCACCTTTTTCATTGGTCAGGAACCTGAAGCAAGGAGTGGTCATGCCACTTACCCAGCCACCCAGCAAGCCAGTGAAAGACGGCTTTTCAGCTCCTGAGAAGGCCTGACTGTTCATGAGCTCCCACAATCCCCCCAGCCCAAAGCCTGGGAGATTTTGCATTTTATCTATTTCCTCTGGATCAGTGGGTCTGAGGCCCAGCCCTCTACATTCTCTAGGTTCCTCCCACAAGCCATGCCAGGGCCAGGTGCTCCAGCAAGAAGGCCTGGCACCCAGCCTGTAGGAAGTGGTCAGGGCAGCCCACATGGAGCTAGTCTGAGAGCAAGCCAGGTGTGGAGGGGTCGGGGGGAGGGGTGCCAGCACAGGTTGTGAGCACTCCATCCTGCCTTCCTCAGGCCACATTCCCAGGGTAGGAGCAGTGGCCAGGCCATCCTCACACTGCAGGGCTTTCTTTCCAACCTTCACTTTGCTGGGCAACGTGGGTGCGTCACTCAGCGTCTCTGTTACCCAGAGGCCACAGCCCACCCACTTCGGCAGGCATTCAATTAACCTCACCTGGGAAAGATGTGTTTGTGTCTGAACCACAAGTCAACCAGTCAGAAACAGGCCTTCTTCTCATCCTTTATCTTTATGGTGGATTCAGGCATTTAAAATGCCAGGAAAGAAACACAACAGAGGAGTTAGGAGTTCCTGTGGGTCGGAGAGCCAAGAAGAGGGAACAATTAGCTCCTTTGTTTCAAGGGATGCTGTTTGTCACCAACAATGGCGTTCTCAAGGAATTATGATACTAAAGATTTAATAACCATTTGATATATGCAGTAAAACATTTCAATTACAGCATTTCTGGAAAGTGCTGTCCTCATCTGTTTCAGGAATGTACCAAGTGTCTTTTAATTAAGTCAGGTCTAAATGAGACACCTCCTCAGTATGGTAATTTTCTGAATGAAGCTACCCTGAAGTACTAATTAGTTTGTTTTTAATGCTTAATTTACTTTGCCAACGTGGCCGTTAGGGTGGGACTGACCTGGGGGAGTGAAATGCAGCAGGTTAGGGCTCTCCTGGCTGGAGAAATGGAGGCATTGCAGTTCCCCTTGCCAAGCTTCCAAGCTACTTGCTGAACTGACCACAGACTTCAAATTGACCTGGGAAGAGGCTCCCCTGATTAACCCAAGACAGCCAGAACTCCCCACGGGAAGGGAGTGTGAGCTGCCTGGATGGAGTGGCTGCCCCACCACTCAAGGTGTCAGAGGACGTTGGGCATTGGATAGGAAAGTGGGCTGGGGGACCTCAGAGGTCCTTTCTCACCCAGTGTCCGTCTGATGGTTTCTTTATTATTCATTCTTACATCACTGCTACACTTACTGAGGCCCCTCTCTGTGCGTGTAAATGATGGACAAAGAGGAACGGATCCTGCCTGGATGGTGCCCACAATGGTGCTGTGTGGGGTGGCGCAGCGGGTAACCAGTGTGAAGTGACCACCAAGGAGACAGGCAGGGGCCTCTGGGACAACGGGTGGGGGCAGGGAGACACCCCCCCCCCCAAGGAAGTCACAGGAGGGGTGGAGGGAATTCATGAAAGCTGTTTAGGAATGGGGGTTAGACCCAGCTGCGGTCCCCCTGGGTGATCTGGCCTGAAGGGCAACAGGCCCTGGGAAGTTTCCAGCCCTAGGAGAGGCAGGGGAATCTTGAGCCCTTCCCCCATCTTGCATGCAGGCACACATACGCACGCATCTGGGTCCTCATGATGCCTAAGGACAACTGTTTATTTTGTTTTTAATCGTTTTTCTCTTATTATTTAAAAGTAAGTACACTTGTAAAAATGTCACACATTGTACAAATATATAGCTTAAAGAGTTAGAGTCTCCCATTACCTCAATTATCCTCCTTGCAGAGAAACTCACCATTTCTTCCAGACCTTTTTCTTTTTTGTTGTCTTTTTGTTTTTTTTTTAAAATTAAATGTGAGGCCATGCTTTCACAGTCTGTATTTGTACTGAAAAATCCAATCAAGCTAGCTTTTGCCCTTCTGCTCCACAGGAGGTTTCTGTCTGTCCTGAGCTCACCTTAGCAGACCTTTCTCTGTGTGCACATGTGTGCACGCAAACACACTCTTGCACGTACCCTGCTTTGCTTGTTTTACAGGATCATGGTTCATGGTGTTCTGTGACTTGTTTTCACTTTACAATATACCATGAACATTCTTTCATATCAGTCATTGTGCACAGATTTACTTCATTCTTTTTAATAGCTGTGAGTATTCAATAGTAGAGTCAAGTTTATACATCACCCTACTTATTGATGGACATTAAGTATGTTGCTTTTTTTCTTTACAATTGCAAACAAAGCTGCAGTGAACATTCTTGAACATAACTCTTTGCATCGTTGTGTAAATTCTTCTTTATGAAATGTCTTCAGAAGTGTACTGCTGGGTCAAAAGAATGTGGTCTTTTAAATGTTAACAGATACTGCCAAGTGGCTCTTCAGAAACAGGCTGGGCACCTTGCTCCCAGACACGTTCACATGATAGCACCTGTTGCCCCACATTCTCTTCAACACTGGGTGTTATTAGTCTTTTAAATTTTTTGCCAATTTAATTAGCAGGAAAAAATAAAAGGTGTTCCTCACTGCTTCCACTTACGTCCCTGTTTTATAAGTCAGTAATGAAGGAAGGCTGAGTAAATGGCAGGAAGACCCAGGTCAGCAGCCTGGCTGTCCCCGGCTGACCTGGGACCCAGATCCTTAAGACCCTTGAGACTCCCTGAGACCTCAGACAGACCACTGACTGCACCATGCTTGACTATGTGAGGTGCATTCTGGTCAGGGCAATGGCGAGCGCAGTCGTGGAGCTGCGGCCACCGAGCGGGCACGACCTTCCTGGGACAGAGGCCTCTGATGCAGCAGCACCGGCCTGGCTCCAAAGGCCCCTCCATAAGCTCTGAAGCCCCAGTGGCCAGGTTCTGCCCACCACCTTGCCCTTCCCCATGAGCTGAGGCCAGCTTTGCCCAGCTGTCAAGGGTGGGCTACACACACACATACACACACACACACACACACACTCACGCACACGCATTCACACTCAAACACCACCCGCACTCCTTAACAGAAAAGGCAAGTCCGAGTGACTCAGCCTTGCCCACAGTTGAAGAGGGGCCATGAGTCACAAATTACATGCCTCCTGTCTGAGCAGGCTTGCCAGCCTGTGAGGCGTTGACGCTGGCAGGGAGCTACAGGGCTGTAGGCCCGGGGCACTGGGGAAAGAAAGGCCCTGACGGGAGCAGCAGACTGGGCACCCTTCCAGCTTCCCTCGCCACCAGCCAACAGGAGGCTCCCAGGCTCCCAGGCCATAGAGCCAAGGCCCAGTTTCAGGGGTACAAGCCCAGCAGGAAGGCTTGGACATGCTCAGACCCACATCTTCCCGGCTCCAGACCAGGAAGAAACCGGCTGGTGTCAGAGCCTAATGGAGTCACAAAGACTACATCTTCCAATCGAAACTAAAGGAGAGTCCAGTGTTACGGCACCTGCCAGGAGGCCACTTTCAAAAGCTCCCCACTGATGGGAGCTGCCACTTCAGGTTTTCTGTGCATCTAAACATCCCTGAGCCACTTTGACATGCAAGGGCATTTCAGAATTTTCCAAGAACTGGGTGATTCGTTTTTGCTAGAATAATGAAGCCAGACCCACCTGCACCCCACCCCCACCCGAACCCTGCCCCACACAAAATTCCTTTAGTTCATGAACAGATTCTCAGCAACAGCAAACTTAAATGCTGACCGAATTTGATTTGTTTGTTTTGTTATAAACGTTTGATTGTGTAGCTGAAGGTGACACAGAAAGGCACAGGCAACGAGAAATGAGGGCCAAAGCCGGGCTTGGGCAGAGGCCCAGGAGATTATGTACCTGCTTCAGGAGTAATCACACCCCATCCCAGGGCTCCCTCCTTTACTCTCTGGTTCCATGAAATCTGCAGGCCTCCCAAGCCCAACATACGCCCCCAGGGCTGGAGCTGGGCCACTAAGGGCCTCTGCTGGTGCTGACTTGTTTATATGCTGGGCTGTGTGGAGCAGGCTGAATACAGACTCTAGTGAGCATATGTTGAATACAACGAAGCCAAGGGCAAGACTAATGAGAGACTGGCCCCTCACCTTGGCAGCTGAAAACTTCGTGCCATTTCTTAGGAGCCAATGATAATAATGGTCACCACAAATTGAGTGGCAACCATGCTCCAGCCACTCACACATCCCAGCTGGTGCTCAACCACCCCCTCAGTGCTGGGGACCTGCATCCCTAGTGCTTGGCACAGAGCCTGGCACCAGAGAGGGGCTCACTCAGGAAATACTGCCGAATGAATAGTGAGGTGGACACATAAGGAGACTGAAGCTCTTCCCAGTTAAGGTACTCTTTCCACATACCCATTTTTTATCATCTTTTTTTTTTGAGATTGTGAATAGACACATTTTGGTTTATTTTCTTTTAATTTTGAAGCATTTGAAACACATGGAAAATAATATGATAGATCAAATTCCAATTTAAAATAGCAAAGAATATAAATGAAACATTCAGAATAGGTCATACCTCTGGAATGAAGAAGGGATAAGGAAGGAGAATATTGGTATAAAATGGTGTTGATAAAATTCTAGTTTTTAAGTTAGATGGAGGAGTCGCAGGACTCATTTTTAAATTACACTTCATAAATCAGACATATGTTGCATAAATCATTCTACATGTATTATGTATATTAGATAAAAACATTTTTAAAAAGGAAACAATATAACATACAGGTACTAATCACCCAGATTTGACAAACAAGATTTTACTTTATTTGCTTCAGATCTCCTTCCTCTTTTTTTCTTCTAATAAACAAACTTTACACATCTGGCTAAAGCCCATCCTCCATGCCATTCCCACCTTCCCTCCTGAAGATAATTATTTTTATATCACATTTGTATATTAACCTTTTATCTAGCCATCTGACTGAATGCTTCTTAGTTCAAACAGTTTACCTATAAATTTTTTTAGATTTTTTATGCAAACAATAATGTCATCTGAAAATAAAATTGCGATTTTTTTCTTCCACTGTAATTTTTATTATTTTTATTTATTTATTTTGTCTTACTAATGCTACCTAAAACATCATACATTTTGAATGGTATCAGCAATAGCAGATATATTGCTCTCATGTCTGTTATTAAAAGAAAGGCCTCTAATACTTTACCATTAAGGACACAATTTGCTGTAGTTATTGATAGATATCTTATCAGGTTTGGGAATTTTTCTTCAGTTCAAAGTTGGCAAGTTATTATATTGAGTGATGCTAAATTGTTTAAATGCTTTTTTGTTTGCATTTATTGAGATGATTATATAGTTTTCTTTTTTACTTTGTTACTTTGGCAAATCACTTTGGATTTTCTCATTTTAAACTGTCCTTGCATCCCTGCTGGAACAATTTTATATATATATATAT